AATAATGTTAGTTTTACTTTCAGTATGATTTAACTGGTGAAACAAATCGTAAAGGTGACATGGATCCAAAGAAGCGTGCACAAGACCTAATTCAAAAATTAGATGTTGGCTCCGATAAAAAAATATCGAAAGAAGAATTCATTGCTGGATGTAAATCGGATCCTGTTATTCGAAAAATGTTGGCACCCAATGCTTAAAAAGATGCTTAACAGCAGACTCAAACTTGAACAAACATAGAAATAATTCTTCAGTATGGAAAAAAAAGATCTCATCTGATTTTTGACTTCCAGGCACCTTATAAAGGCCGTATAATAAAGCATTGACGTAGCCGCATTTTTAGCAAATAAATCTGATTGTCTTTGACAGTTAAAACATTACCGTTTTGTGCAAGACACAACAGTCAGAAAGCAACCAGATTTTGAGATTCACATACAACTCGCACCATGGTGGTTTTTGAATTTAGCGTGAAAATAAACATGAAACATCTTCATCTACGCAAGGATGAGGGTGACTAAACAGAAACTGAACCAGAGTGAAAGTTCAAATAGAGATGACCTTGATTGTCTAGCGAACAAGTGTATTGAAATAGAAGAAAGTGTGCGTTATACTGAAAAACACAATTTATAGCCAAAGCGTCGTAACCTTTTCACTTGTAGAAAACCATGTCCATTGTGGGATGCATTTTCTTCTGTTTTTATATGATTCATGTGTGACCCACCGGTAGTTTTATTGAAGGTCTAACAGAACTATAGAGAGGGAACAAGTGAGTTTGTACCCTTTTCTCCACGTATAATAAGAATGAGTATGGTATACAAAAAGTATTGTTTTACCTGCAACTAATACTCAGTTTAGCTGCGAGAGATACGCTGAGGAAGGACATGTGCGAAATCACTGAGCCTCAAATAACATAGAATAGAACAGCAAATAGTACTTTATCTAAGTTTCACATATGCCTGCATACAGATATATTTAAGAGAAGAAGAATATAATTTGTACATTTGTACTTTAAGCCATGAAAAGTTTACTACTCTCCGATCTGCAATCCCTTTACCTAATTAACGCGCAGTTGATGGTACAAGTTGAGTGTCGATGGAAAATAGTTTCTAAGATGGTGCTACCCTGCTCGTCATTTTCGAGGGACACTATTGACGTAGTAAGCTATCAAGGAAATTATCTAAATTAAATAGCGAAAATGTTTATAAATTGTTGTTTACAACTGATGACCATTCATGCGACAAAGACCATTGTTTTCTTTTTCATTTCATATTACATTTTTTTCTCGAATGTGCTGTATGCAAGCGTATGTGAAACTTGGATAAAGTACTATTTACTGTTCTATTCTATGTTACTTTAGACTTGGTAATTCCGCACATGTCCTTCCTCAATGTATGTCTCGCATTTAAA